CAAAGACAGAAAAAAAAGCCACAAGGCTTTGTGGTCTGCAGAGAAAACCCAGCAGGTGTGGAAAATAGAGATGATCCACCAGCGAAAGCACACTGTCCCTGTCCTTCCCTGCCCCCGGGGGTGCCGGGACCTGCCCTCTGGGACCAAGCAGGAGGCACATCTCCCCCTCAGTCCCAGAGTCCAGACTTGGGCCACCGGCGCGATTAGCCGCTGAACAGTGCCATCTCCTGGCAAAGCCACCGGCCACGCCGAGCCCTGACACCATGCTGGGCGGCCGGCGGAGGCACATGGGGCCTTGGGCACCCCTGGAGCACCCTGACCCCCCAAACTCAGCCCTGCCTGCTCCGTGCCCTCCCCTTGCCCTGGCAGCAGCTCTGCCGTGCGGGGAAGGGCGATGCCATCCCGAGGGATGCAGGTGCTATACTGACCCTCGGGATGCTCGTGGGAGCCAGAGCATCGTCCCCACATGGGCTTTGGGTGGCTGCAGCAGGCACAGCTGGGATGGGGCAGAGCTTGGAGATGTTCAGCCACTGTCCTTGGGGGAGTGCTTTAAACTGGGACTGCAAAAAGAGCAAAACCCCTCGTGGCCACCCTGCTGGTCCCCCTGTGCTGTGGGTGTCCCCCACAGGAGATCAATGGCTTCTGACTGGGGTCTCAACCAGCCTGAGCTGAGTGCTGGACACACCTGGATAGAAACTTGCAGTGCTATAACCTCACCCTGCTAACAGGTAAACTGAGGCATGGAGCAACCAGTTGTGAGAAGCTCAACCAGAGCTGGGGAGACAAGTGGGGCAGAGTGTCCAGCTACACCCAGGCCTTCTGTCCCCAACCTGTCCCCATTGCAGGGGGGTGGCATTTTCCCTTTTGCCCTCTGCATGTCACTTCTTCACCCTGCTGTGAACCTGCTGTGCTGGTTCAGGGAGAAAATAAAAAGAGCAAGAACACTTCCCTGCCTCCACCTAGCACTTACGCCATCTGATAAACAAAATGGAAATAAATCCTCCTGCGTTTGCAGCAAATAGGTCTCCATGGGGGGTTGCTTTCAATAATTCAAATGCCTTTGCAGAGCAGAGCCCACACCAATGGGTTTTAATAAACACAGCCATAATGTGACATGCAATTTATTATTAAGCTTAAAACAGGAAGCAAAGAGTTTAATAAAAGCACCAGGATCCCTGTATCAGTCACGGC